TGGGTGGGAAAGCTGGCAGATCTGACCATGTCATCTTGAATTCTGATGCATGCTAATGAAAAGAAAGCTATGCAACAGAAGTGATCAATCATGCAAGTGTAGGGACAAACAGCAAAGATTCAACAATGCACAAAAATACCTTTCTAAAACAATTTGGAAGTTACATTAAAAGGCAAAATTGCTCACAAAATGCATGTGTTTCCAGTTAGCACTAAAAGAGAAAACGGTTTAATAATTCTTTGATCATAGAGATAAATTAATTCATACTGCTTTATCCATCAAAAAGAAAGTTTAAGAAAGTAACATCTTTAGTGATCCTGAGAATATACAACCTGTCCCCAGGTGACAGTCTCTTTCTTTTCTTCTTATCACCAAAACTCAGCCTTATAAAAACAAAAAAAAAATCCACCAAAAAATCTTAAAATAACATCCAAGACATTCTAATGATACAACATTGTAAAGATATAGCCCTTATTTTCAAAATCTAATACTAGCAACAAATCTCAAGGCACAACTATAAACGATACCATGCTTCGTAACTGCATTTCTAAAGTGCATTTTATTTCAGGATAAATTTGCTTTCAGATTAGAAAAAAAAAAAAAAGCCAGTACTCTAACTCTGGTATTAAAGTCCCAAATCTGTAACCCTAAGAACAATTTCATTATTGGATGTATTATATAACACAGTACAAAGTTTACTGCTCCTTCAAGTAATTACTCCCACATTTTCTCTGAAAATAACAAAACCTATGTGGACAACATTTGTTTTTCCTGGTGTAATTAAAAGTTTTGGCCACTTCTGCCACTGAATAAGGCACTAAGACCCCCGGCCTTTTTGAGCAATAATCCTACAATCCACACAAGCTAACAGATTTACTAATTTGTGCTATTGTTAATGAGAAGAATGGCCAATGACAGCTTTCAACACTAGGTCTTAACTCAGGTCACAGAAAGGAATGAGGGAGAGAGGCTGTGAAAGGAGAGGTCTATAATATTTACGTTTCTGAGGCTTAAGCCATGTCCCGGGAACGTACTTCAAAACCTGAAATTTCTCAAAACAAAAATATGATGTGATGTGTGGTTCTAGCTGTGGTAATTCAGAAGTACACCTGATTCTTCTCTTGACCCTAAGCAAAACCCAGCTATGCTTAAAAATACTTCATGACATACTCCAAGAATTTTGATCACATTCTGATCAGTGGCACAGGTTGTTCACTTTTTCAGTCTTGAACCAGCTGGTGTAAGCAGAGATACACTGTATCTGTAGTCAAAAAACAGTAGGTCTACTGATGTTTTTTTGAAAATAATAAGCCTTGAGGGTGATGCAAGAATCATCTGTCAGTGAGGTACAAGACCTGGATGTAGAGAGGAAACCCACACTTAAGAAAATGCAGAGGTTTTTTGAGCCCACTAAAGGGTGTAAGTCTGTAAAGACCTCTAGTCAAGAAAGTAAGTATCCTGTTCAATTCTAAGACAAAAGGACCCCACTATTCTCAGGGAAGAACAACAAAAATGGCTAATTAAACATGAGGGAAAAGATCCCATTTGTCTGTCCTTTGCATCCATTCCAGCTGGTACCATCTCTGGAGATGGGTTGATGGATATGCTGAGTCGACCCGAGTATGAGCACACTTAGAAGCTGGAAGGAACTCCTTGTCTCTCTGCAGGCCTTGCTGTGCTGCACAGAGAGTTGGTAAACCCCAACAAGACATTTCTCACTGATGCAAAAGAAATCCAGCTTGCTCCTTCAGCTATACTAATGAGGTATTCATCACTATGAGTACATTTGTTGCTATAGCTGCAGAGATGACTGAATCAACATAGGAAAAAGATCTTTGGGGCAAAGCAATACTGTTTTTAAATAGTCCTCTTTCAGAATAGGGCAATGCTTCAAAACAGTCTGTTTGATCATTAAAAAAAAATTAAAAATTCTGTTCAAGAAGTTGTGATAAATATGAACATATAACCTTTGTTTCATTATCCTAAGAAAGTGTTACAGGAATCATACTCCTCAAGTTCACAGAAGTAATGCAACAAAACATGTATTTTTGAGGAAAATAAGAGCAACAATAACTCCCAGTCTAAATACTGTTCTTTTGAGAATTTTTATGGATACTTAGTCTTTTGAGCAGATACAGACTTGAAATATATTTTGAATCTATAATAACTTCCCTCAAACGTTAACCAATATTTTCTTAGATAAAATTCCACATCAGTACTGGTAGTACTACCTAAAACTCCTTATGCGTCTCCTTATCACAAGACTTACAAACAATTCTTATTGACATAAAACTTCTTAGTTATTAAAAACAATTATCAGATTTAAAGTCTCATTAGAACTGTTTTACTATAACAGTAGTATAACAAACAAGCATCACTACATAACTGATTTGAAATGAGGAAAAGGACTTTTTAAAATCTACAACGTACACTGTACAAAAAGAACATTTTAAAACCTATGGTTATTTCTGACTCAAAATGTAGAAAGCTTTCGAGTCTGTAATTTAAAAACACCTCAAAACCAAACAAAAAAAAAACCCAAACACACACAACAATGACAAAATCAACCAAACTCAAATACCCTAATAAATTAAAAGCTTACAGATACTCTTATCTCAAAGATATTATTAAGGCAGTGATAACACGTTAGGGTGAGAATTTGTTGACTGAACTGTATTTCCAACGTAATAACCTCAAATGCAGATTGTCACGTTCTTGAAGTTTTACCTGGTACTGCAGACTTACTGATCTCCTCAAATACCATTATATCTTCAATATACTTGAAATGATATTCAAATGTATTTTTAAAAGCTTGGAATAAGTAACAAAACACAAAGAAACAGCCATGCTTCACACTTTCAGATGCCCTGCTCTCCGAAACTGTGTAAGTCACCACTGTATCTCTTTCAAGAGTATATTGCTCATAAAAAAGCAGCAAACCTCTCAGAGAGAAAGGAACCCTCAGAGAAAGAAAATGTGCTATATAACTGTAGTGCAAACCAGACAGTGACTTTTACTCTCTCTGAGAGGAAAGTTCACCGAGAAAAAGCAGCCTAGTTAAAAAAAAAAAAAATCTTTCAAAACAGTTTGATAAAACCCACGATATTACTCTTGCTTGCTTTATTTTCCTACTAACTTGATCTAATACATGCACAGAGTAGACAAATCATAAATGCTTGAAATTATTAAAATAAGAGAAAAATAACACTGACTATTTGCTCTGCACTGCCATTAACTCTACCCCTCCTGCTGTGTTATCTCCAACTGCTGCACACAGGAATACTCTTCACAAAAATGAAGAAAATTAGCCAGATAACTGCTTCATTCCATAATTCACAAGTTAATCAAACCTGGTGGCAAAGACAAGGACAAAATAAAGAAATATTGTCCAAGCATTAGTGTCAAAAGCAATTATTAAGTCTATTATGAAACAAATTCTAGCCGTGTATAAATTTCTTACCCTCATCAACATATTTGATGCTTTACTGCTGGGTAATAAGATAGTCAATGTCTTGAGTTTATGCTCAGAGCTTTGAGAAAGGCAGAGAAAGACTAATAAAAAGCACCATTTCGTTACTGACTTTAAGTGCCACAGTCAGAACTGTTGAGATCCAATACACTGGAACGCACATGGACAACTCAGAAAGCCTTTGAGCACAGTTTTAATTTCCTAGGTTTTCGGAAGCAGAGGATCATTTCAATAATCATGTGCTGACAATTAAATTTAACCAGCATGAGATTTGTTTAAAGATGTGTTTTAACGAGAACTTTTTCTAGGAATGCTTCCAGCCATGTTCTTCCTGTGATTTTTAAATGACATTAAATAACCCGGAACTTCAGAAGGCTTCAAAAAACGATACATTTATGTAAGAAACAATTTTTAAACTTTTTTTTTTTTTAAAACATTTTTTGTTCCTTTTGTTCTAGTTTCTTTTGTTTTAATTTCTTTTAATATAAAGCCTGAAGTGGTTTGTGCTAGAAGTATTTTCCCCCCATGAAAAATTTACTTCAAACAGATGATGTTGATCTTAAATAAGCAACCCAAAAATACAACAATAGATAGAGTTAAAACATTTATAGTGCTTTGTCCACAGAAACTTCCCACAGAACTGTTCATGAGAAGCTTTCCAAACACTACCACTCTCTAACTGTTTGTTTGTTTGTTTTTTTGAAGTCCAGCTTATGCCTTATCTCTTCATTTACTTTTCAGCCACTCCTGGCACAGCCAAAATACCATTACTGCTCCTGTTGAGGCAAGATGCATTCCTAAAGGATCATGGAAATGACAAAAGCAAATGGAAACCAACAATTTGAACATGGGACTACTTCTAACAGCAGTGCAGAGAAAAACGAGTTCCTCTAAAAGAATTATTCAGGAGCCATTTAATTCACAGAAGAGAATAAAAAGTATTTTACAGACCGTTAGGATATGTCTATACTGAAGAAAAGAGTGCACAATGAAAGATAGGAGCTCATATTTGCAAGTCATATGCATTACTTCAGAAGACCTAGGGCAGTATTTTAATAAGTAAAATGTGGAGATGTTAACTGGAAGAGGCTCTTAGTAATCACTGCTGCACATGAGGTGGGAGTTCAAGAACAACTCATGATTCTTATACTATGGGCAAACAGGGACTGGAAGCAATAAGATGATTATATTCTTACCTACTAAAGAACACAGATCTCAGACATTCCCTTGAGCTCAGAGATATTTCAGACCTAAAGCTATGAACTTCTAGATCATCATTCAACATTATGAAACTAAAGAATTAGGTTTTGCCAGATTACAGGTTTTAAATATGGGGAAATAGTAATTCAGAAGGCATAGGTAGCCTAAAACCACTTTTCCTTGTATCCCAAACTGCCAAGCACCCCCACAGTATTGCTGAACACTTAGTGGAGGAATTCACTAGAAGCTAAAAAAGCTGAGGAAAAACCTACACTCAACACTACTTTGCTGCCTTCAGCACCACGCTATAAGCAATTGAAATCAAGTTTACCTTTCTTGAAGTGTAGATGTCAAAAAATGGTTTGTTTCGAACACTGAATGGTTCCTGTGCTTTGTCGATAAGACCATTTTTCATCTTTTCATGTCGTGGCAATATAATCTCTTTCTCTATACAGGCAAGTCGAACATTAAAATCACAGTCTCCAACAGGCTGCCCCTACCAAGTTACAAAAAAAAAAAAATCAGCATTAAAATCGAACCCCAAATTATTTGGACAGTTAAGTTTTCCTTACACAGTGTTTAGAATCATACTTATACATGCAAATATTATCAATCACTACATGTTTTTGACAGACACTTTCTTTTCAAGCATTTGCCTTAGGCTGTAAGGTGATTAAGCAAATCAAAGAGCATAGAAAGATTAAAAAAATTTATTTAGTAATATGTAGTCAAGCATATATAAGTTAAATACCTAAATACCTTTAGAGTTAAGCAAAATAATTTAAATATTCCCTAATTATAGCTTTGGATACAGCAGCTACATATTTTTCCATATAGTTTTCCTCTGAAGCCATTGAGTTAATTTTGTTTATAATACTTTTAATGACAATGCATTAATGCAATTTTCACAGTTAAGCACATTCATTAATTTAAATGTACTATATTGATGCCTTGAAAGAAGCATTAATTATGTAAACGTTTGCTTTTCTGCCACAGAAAAAAGAAAAACATAGCTACAGTTGGAAAATGTGCCAATAAACAGTGGCTGCAGAAACCTGTAAGATATAAGATGGCTCAATCACAAAAAAGGTAGTAAAAAGCCCTTCTCTAGGCCTCAGTAGCATATTTCGACCTTTAAAGAACTTAAATAAAACAGGAGCTTTACTTTGCTTTTTATGCATTTGATATATTGCACCAGATCAGTACAAGTGTTCAAAATGCACATCTGTCAGATTAATAATAGTTTATAATAGAGATTATATTTGAGCATTAGATAGCGAGGAGAACACACTGTGGATATCTCGAGGAGAAAATAAGCAATTGGCAACTTATAAACTTTCATAGCAATAAGGCAGAAAACTCATAGATCTGCATTGTTACAAGCACGATACAGCACTGGAAGTTATTTACATGAGATTATCCCACCTTTTGCCACCCCATTCATAAAAAATAAAAAATTCAAAAACCATCCCTTTCACAGTCCACGGAAAATAAACAAGATTCCAAAGAATAATTTTTCAAAAGTGGAAAGCAACGGGCACAGAAAACTCAGAAGATATGGGACTTGAATTATCAGTGACAACAGTACAGATGAGGAGGAGGACAACCAACCAGTTATTTCCTGTACTGAATACAGCTAGAAGAGAATAGGAAAGAGAATCTAAAAGGAAAAAAAGCCCTGCTCTAACATGCATCAGAGAGAATCAGAACTGGCCAATCTGAAAGAATCAGAGGAAATAAATGGTAAAATGACATTCTGATGAGGCGTACAAAAGTAAGAGATAGAATGAGTGGCATCTGAACAGATACCTTAATTGGGAGAAAAAAAAAAAGAAGGAATGTCAATTTAAGACCAACATAGTTCGTTCTAATAACTTCCGAACTCATCCTGGCTTTCACCAGAATCTTCTGTACTTTATGCTCCCAAAGAGGCACTAAGTTTCTCTTACATTTCTTTCCTAGCATTTTATCCTTAGTAGACCTCTATGAGAAGTCCTCAATCCTTCACTGCAACGACTTTAAGAACTATGCATTCTCCCATACCACATGTCCTTCAGAGCCACTTTCCTTCAGGACTCAGCTTCAGTCTATATGAGGGGTGGCAGCACAGCCACTTTGGGGGGAAGCTCATCCTGCACAAAGCCAGTGATAACATGGGTGAAGTGTCTCCTAGTCTCTGGTCATTGATCCATGCCTGTGAAGAAGAAGAAAGCCTACCTGGTCGTTAACTTTGCCTTCAGTGTTGCCTTCCTTTCATACATGAAGTTGTTATTAGTAAAGAGCCATCCAAACAAATGGAAAATTAGAGCATGAAAAATGCAAAGAGCGGGAGAGCAGCTCACTCTCTCTTCGTTTATTGCCAAACACTTCTGTGTGACTGAAACATTTTTAAGTTCCACAGATAAAATCCTGGAGAATCATTCAGCCCTTCTTTCTTTTTTCCTCCCCCTATGTACAGCACACTTGAGAACTCAGAGAAAACATGTCTTGACCTCTGTAACAACTGACTGAAAAACTGGATAAACAATTCTTTCCTGGGAAATGTACATACAGCTTGTTTATCATTTCAAAGAATGCCATAAACTGTTCTCTAGGTACATTTCAGCAAGATCTAGTTCACATGCTCTCTTCCCTACAGTAGCTCTTCCACTCAACCACATTTTATGAGTAGATCTGGAAGAGCAAATTAACTCATTAATGTTTCAAATATTTGAGCTTCCAATAAGCAGTAAAGTTATTTAGAGATCTCCTTCACAATGATTCCTTCAAAAACACTTTTGCATGGTGACTTAAATTTATTTCAATCCTTTAACAGTTAAGCTAAAAGCTGAGATGACTTCATATGCACCATAAACCACCTGAATCACTTTCTTTGCCGTCAAATAATCCTTTCACTTCTCCCATCTACTTGGAACTAATTATTTCCTGCAGCTCTGCCAATCATGTATTTTTATTTCAAAGCTTGTTAAGCAGAAGGGTATATTACCACTAGGTTCTGTGATATAAAGGTCAGAGCTAGGTTGACATAAGATCATATGAGATGAGAAAACACGAAGAAGTTGCTTGGCAGCATTATCTATCAGCCAAGTAAACGAAGAAGCCCAGGAGTATTTCGTTCTCACAAAAGTATGGGGCATTAGCAGTAAGAAAATTAACATAACACTGAATTTAAATCAAGGACATACCGAATAAAAGCCATATAGGAGGAGGGTTTTTTCTTTGTTGTTAGACACTTGACATAATTACAAAAAATGTTGCTAATATACCATGTATTTATCCCAGATAGATTCAGAATCCTCAAGTGGTAAAACCCTAGCTTTTAGCAAATAAGTAGGAAGGCAATGTAGGCTACAATAAACAATTTGTGTATCTTGACAGCAACAGGAAGAGGTTATTTAGCATATCAAAAATACATCTTCAAATTGTCCAAAACCAAGACATTGATGCATGTATAATCTAAACCCAGGCATCAAATACTAGTATGGTTTTAGGCCATATAAATGGTTTATTAATTTAAGCTTTCAGATGTTTGAGATTTTGTTTCGATATAGAAGTTTTTGCTTTTGCTTGGCGAGGGTCACCGCTGCTTAACACCAGGTGACTGGAGTGTATTACATGGTAATTCCTGTTCTAGACATTTTTAACCTAAAGTAAGTTTGTTAGCAAAATAAAATTAAGAAGTAGCATGTGTTTCCCATCTATGCTAGAAAGTTACACTTCCCCTGGCTGTAATTAAAATGTATCCTAAAGCAAAATGCTGTTTAGACAAAGCTCAAGAGAGGAGTCATCTGTTGAATCAACACCTCTTCCTTCAGCAACTCTTCACCTGTTGAAACTTTGTGCATTGCACTAAGAGGTCACAGCATGAAGTTGGCTTGCAACAGATGTGAGGCTTTAAAATACTGTTTTGATTTTATACACAATCCTCCACGCACCCTCAAAACGTAAAATGAGATTTCTATTGAGCTTTGAAATCTAACCAGGATTGAACATTTCTGAATTTAAACTTACATTATTTCAGATTAACTTCTCAACAGAAACCATACATAGTAAGATACATACGAACCTAATATATCACAAAAAGAAATACATGTTAAAAAATACTAAAAAATGGGGTCTGCAGCTCATTTAATATCCATTGCCTTGTGGGAGTGGGGAAAGGCAATTTATTTAATGAAAAAGTGAACAACCCACCAAAAAAAAAAATCACAGTCCAAATAACGTTCCTCCAGATGGGTGCCAAGAGCCAGAATTTGGTCATACATCAGGGTGTTCTCCTGCCATAGCTCCTGCCCTCCACCTAATTCAGAGACCCCCATATTGAAGTCACAGCTTCATGCTGATATGGCTATGAGGACTCAAAGTGGCACGTTACTCAAATTCCAGATCATGAAACACAGGAAGACAGAGATAGGTCTAAGAGGTTAACAGGATTTCTACTGCACGTGCTGCCTCAGTCTCCTCTCTCTCCACAAGGAGAAAGATACCTCTGAGGAGCTCCCATCACCTTTCAGGCTTATGCCTCCTTTCCCCTGCGCCTCTAAGGTTGACCTTGTGGCTACAGCTCAGTAAATTCAGTGAGCCTTACATGCAAAGCCTTTTACCTAGATGGATGCAGGAGGGGTGACAAAATGTGGTATGTAGGTACTAAATCCTTTCTCTTAGAATTTTATATTTATCCAGCTTTCCTGAAATACAGCCATAGTAAAAAGAAAACTAATGCCTGGGCCTGTGTACACAGCTGATAGCTACCTTGGTTCAGGATCAACTGAGCATATTTATTCTCTTCCTCCATGAGATACAGTTCAAAGTCTACCTGCCAGCAAAGCACGCTCCATTTGCTTCCCCAGAGCAGTACCTTAGACATGAATAATTCAGCACATACACACATATACGTTCCGTGCACGTCCTCACTTATTGAGCCATAGCGGAACATATGTCACAACTGTCTTAGCTTTAGTGATTTTGAGAGAAGAATAAAGAATGAGCTCAGGCTGATATTCTACCCTGTGTTTAACATTATTATTGACAATTCAAGGCACCCACAGCTGACATCTGCATTTCCAATGGAAGCCCGTTATTAGTTCCCCCATCTTCTGAAGGCCATGCTGCCTAATACTTCGCAATTTATATTAATGGTCTGGCACATTTTTTCTGGCTGTGTTTTTACAGATGCTGCAATTTTTTTTATACACATAGGTTTATGTGAAAAACAATCTGAAGCTGCTGTTTCATTCTCCAGATAAGATTATCACTAAATTCAATCACCTAAAAGTTTTTTTTTCATTTCTGATAAAGTTTTCTTTTTAAAACAGGATTAAAAGTAAAGTATTAGAGCAAATAAAATTTTGTAGAATTATGACTCTTAAATTTTTCATTTTTAAAAGTCAAAAGGCAAGAAAACCATTACAATCTGAAAACAGGTTTCAAAATTGTTTTTTATAACTTTTATCACTCAAATCTTCAAAATAGATATGGTAATGGCAAGTAATTGAG